TATTAACAGGTTACAGGGCAACGCCCCAGCTCCAGCCAGCGTCGTTCTGGCATCGGCAAACCAAGGGCACAGAACAGAGCAACTCAGTTGAAATCAGTCCAGGTTCAACCATCTCTGAAGTCCTATATCCCGAATGTGGAAGAATGCTAGATGCTGCCAAAACTTCAGAACACCAAAAAGCTTAATATAACAATAATCAGATGATGAAACTAATGGTGTGATGATGATGATGATGATGATGATGATGATGATGATGATGCTATATCAGCTATTCTGGGCTCCAAATCCGAGTACAACTCCTAGCCCTCCCTGTACTAGGACACTATACTACAGAGACAGAAACAACCTGACCAACATCAACCATAGCTGATCTCTTCTCGCCTCCTTTCAGCCCCCCCGGAAGGCATTCCAATTCCTTCGCACATTATTCACAATTGATCTGAAACTGTTGAGATCTATATGATGGTAATCCAAAAATCTATCCCAAAAAGAAATCAGAAAAGCTCAAAGTGGGAGGAGTCCCCACAGTCTGGGCTATCACACACAGCCCATCAAAAGTTCCCCATCTGGTTCGAAACCATTTGACCGCTTTAACCATACACCCTTTCTTCTGAACACGGAATTCCCAGTCAGCCGAGATCGCCAATTTAATATTATATTTAACCTCCGCTCTGATCATAGGGGGCGTAAGACATTCCCCCCGCGAACAGCCGAGTTTCGCAAGTTCCAAAGGGGTCGTAAGAATGGCACCACGGAGTGTTTCTTCTGCATGTGAACGGGAGGGCAAGAGTGGCTGTCGTCTGGAAGCTGTCCCCAACAGCACAAATTGATCGTCCCATCGGGTCCGCACATCCAGTATCGGAACATCAGAATGGTGCCACCAGTCCCAAAAAGGCCTCGCAAGGGCACACTGCAGCAGAAAGTGCTGAACATCCTCCACCCATGTTCCTGGGCATATAGTACAGAGTGGAACAGCTTCAACAGTCCTTCTTGAGCACCAACCAGCCACTGGTAATGCCAAATGCATCAGCAATCATAAAAGGCTAGCATGTTTGCGGTTGGTAAGATCCATAAGCTGTCCAGTATGTATGTGTCCTGTATCATTGCCCAGATGCATTTGAACCCATCCAACATTTTGAATTCATCAAGATCCTCCAGAGGTCCAGATATCAGCCGTACATAACCAAGATCTATTGTCAGGATCATCTAGTGCCAGGGGCTCGCCACACAGCCTTTCGAAAAGAGGGAAATGGAGGTGCCCTCCTTGCCACACAGTCTTTAGAAACCCCATTTTTCATCACAAAAAAAGAAAAAAGAAGAGAAACGGTCTCGAAAGTTGTCAGAGGAACCCCGTTGTCCGAAACTACTTTCGAAGTGGAATGCCACTCCGGCCTGTCACGGCCCTCTTTTCAAAAGCCCTCTCCCTATCATTCAAAAAATGGCCATCTTCGGATAGTGTTCGAATGGGCCGGCAGGAGCCGTAATCACGATTAGGGCACGGATTAGCGAAAGGCTCACGCAGCATGGTAACTCTTTTTTTTTTTTTTTTTTTTTTTTTTTTTTAATGGAACAAGGCTCCAATCTATTCGTGGGGAGCAACACGTGCTGGGAACCGGGCCCAGCTCGAGCAGCAGCGGGAAGGGGCTCTTTATCGTAACCCCCGAGGTTCTACCATGTCCCGCACAGCACAAAATCATTAGGGTGCTAAGAGTGATGAGGAGAAGTCAACAGGGCGATGAACGGAGAAGAGCCTAATGAATGCTTACGGGTTGATTGGTCAAGGATCAAAGGCGATCAGGAGATCGGGAGACTATCGTAATTTAATAGATTCTTCATCCCCAATATATTGCTCATCGGGTGTCAGGAGTGCCAACGTGTCGGTTTCGATGATTAGCAGGACACGTTGCTTGCCCATATGAGCTCGAATATCTCCATAACAAACACAAACACTTTAAAATTTCAAGGGACGCTGGACCCGCTTTCCAGCAGGTGCTGCTCCCCACCAATAGATGGAGCCTCCCCGAGCATGCTAGCGGTGTCTGCTCGTATCAGCACCGCTAGCATTCACTTGGGTTGTTAAAAAAAAAAAAAAAAAAAAAAAAAGACTGGCAAGAGACATTCAGCTACCATGGAAGGTATACCTTGCTCTCAATGACTTGGGGGGGGTGTTGTTTTTGATGTTTGTGGACCAGTTCCTGGGGACGCTTCATCAGCTGACAGCGTAATAGTGTAACTAGGACTAGGTCCGTTTGAGAGGTAAATACTTCCCTGTTTTGATAGTTTTATTTGTGACTGTGGTTTTTATTTATCTGTGTTTTTCGACCGAAGGGACAGGGCCTAGAAATGGGGAACTCCAGTGGGCCCTCCTCCTGGAACGCCCCCCCCCCCTCCCTCCCTCTCCCCCCCCCTCCTCTCCACCGGTCAACCCAAACGCTCCCTTGTCGGACTCCGAAAAATAGAGAATTTGAGGAATCCTCAGTTCGTGTTACACCGATGGGATTCTACCAAAGTGCCTTTCTCGGAACACAGTCGAAGTTGGGGAAGATTTCGTCCGAGTAATTATTAACCCGGAGGTGTACAAAGTTCAAGTGGCATGGCTCAAAGAACATGCAGTGACTATTCTATTTGTTGATGAGTCAACGTCACTACCAATAGACGTTAAGAAACGAATTGTGCGGACCTATGAGGACGGATGGGCCACTAACCGATTGATCAACGCCCCTCCTAAGCGACGCTTGTTTCATAATGAATGTCGCAATCTAGTAACCTATGTTTCATCGTGAAGTCAGATTGCGACCTTCATGCTGAGGAAAAAACAAAATAAAATAGTTTTGGACGGAAGAACGTACTCGATTACGTTTCGACCTTGGTTGTCTGATTATGAGCTGTACGAGTGGAGGGAAGCAATGCGGTTCCAATTTTTTTAGATCAGACGCTTACAAGTCCCAATTTCGGCTCTATAACAACTGGAGACAGTGGTAGAAGACGCCTTCGGTTCAGTCTTGAAATCGCACCCGTTGTTCAAAGAACCAGGAAAGCCGGAATTAATAAACATTCGGTTTGACCTCGTTTCGTCCGCACGGATGAGATACAAACCTTGTTTGTTGGTTGACCACCTGGATGATGGCTATGCCAAAATTGAAGTCATCTGTGCAGATACCCCATGGTGTGAGCTGTGCAGAAGGTATTTTCATAAATCCAATGATTGCCCCTCAAAACACCGAGCAGACTCTTCAGCGGCGAACAAGCCCAACAGGCTACATGGCACCCTGGGCCGCGGCCGCAGAATCCAAGTCCGCGGCCAGGATCCTAGGCCGCAGGCCCGCGGCCGAGGCTGCGCAGCCGAGTCCTCACGCGGCCTCGCCACGCCCAGGCGGGGGCGCGCGCTCAAAATCCGCGCGCGCACTCGGCCTGCGCACGTCGGCCGCTGTCGGCCTGCATTAAAAAAAATAATAATAAAAATAATTGGGGGGGTTGTTTTTGATAGGAAAAAATTAAATATTCATTTATTGATTGTTTTTTTTAATGATTGATTGATTGATTGATTGATTGGTTGATTGATTGATTGATTGATTGATTGATTGATGATTGATTGATTGATTGATTGATTGATTGATTGGTTG